AAAAAAAAAAAAAAAAAAAAAAAAAAAAAAAAAAATCCTCAGAAAATTGTCGCAAGTGTAATAATCTTGATTGACCAGCAGGTGGAGGCGATGTTCGGGTCGCTGCTGAGATTTTAATAATAACATTTGGCCAGCAGATGTCGCAGTTGTGGCGCTAAGGCAGGACCTGAATAACTTGTGAGACCTAGCAGAGTTCAAATGAATTACATCTAACAAATTTGGTTAGATTTGGTTAGAACCTGATTACGGGGGTGGGGAGCGAAAGTTGCGGGCGGGCAGAATCACCGGGGAGCCCACAAGCAGGTACACGCCGCTCGATCGCCGGTGGGAAGTGCCTGCCCCACAGAGCCACCAGGGAAGGAGGGATTGATTGATTGCACACAAGCAACCCGGAGCGGGAAATTTAAAACCCCAGGTTAAAACGCACAGGCGCTGGGGCGTGCCTGGAAGAGCCGCCAGTGCTAGGACACCTGTAGGTGGCTTCCCGGCTGGAGGCACGGGGCTGTTGAACCGGACGACTGCGGAACTGGAGTGAGGGTGCTTAGCGCAGGTTCAGAATTCGCCGAATGCAAAGCCGTGTCCGGCCACGGGGCACGTCAAACAAAAACGGCAGGCAGACCCGGCTTGAACGCTGTTAAAAACCCGGAGAAAACTCTGGCCCCACAGGGCCAGTGGTTGGCCGAACTGTTTAAAAAACGCCCTGGCGAATGTGCGGCATGCCTGCGGCTATTTCATGGCTGGATCCGCTGCTCAATACAGCGGGTGCACGAGCTCTTGGGGCGAGTCTGAGCGAGGAGAGTCTCGCGGTGGCACTCACTCATAAGTGGTTTTTAAACATAAAGCAAAGAAAACCAGCCCACAAATCACAATCCCAGAGAACCTCGACAACAATGAGGACCCTAAGAGAGACATACATGGATCTAATCTACATGGAAAGTAGAAAAAGAGATCTCCTGAGTAAATTGGGAGCACGGGGCCGTGGGAGAGTGTTGAAGGGGAGGGGAAAGGAAGGGAGGGGAGCAGAGAAAAATGTAGAGATCAATAAAAGTCAATATTAAAAAAGGGGGAAAAAAAGAAAACACGGATATTTACATATGGTAATTGTCTTTCTGGGTCTGGGTCATTAGTGTTTTTGTTCTTGACCATTCTTGTAGGTGTAAGATGGAATCTCAGAGTTGTTTTGATTTGCATTTCTATGATGACTTAGGATGTTGAGCATTTCCTTAAGTGTCTTTCAGCCATTTTAGATTCCTCTGTTGAGAGTTCTCTGTTTAGGTCTGTACTCCATTTTTTTTTTATTGGATTATTGTTCTTTTGGTGACTAATTTCTTGAATTCTTTGTATATTTTGGAGATCAGACCTCTTAGTGAAGATCTTTTCCCACTCTAGGCTGTCCTTTTGTCTTGTTGACCGTGTCCTTTGCTTTACAGAAGCTTTTCAGTTTCAGGAGTCCCATTTATTAATTGTTTCTCTCAGTGTCTGTGCTACTGAACATCCGTGTTTTCTGGTGGTCTTAGGAGATTCCTGTGAAAGGGTCATTCATTCCCAAAGGGGTCATGACCCACAGGTTGAGAGCCTCTGTTTAAGTCATCACATGGATGTTGGGAACCCAGGTTTCTTGTAAGAGGGACAAGTGATCTTCACCAGGGGTGATCTCTAGCCCCCCCCCCCCCGTCTCCTTTTTACACACTGCAATACCTTCAACCCAATCTAGAAACTTCCTCACAGGTGCTCTAGAGGTTTGTCTCCGAGGTGACTGTGAATCCCGTCCAGCTGTCAGTGAACACAAAGCATCAGGGGCACATGCTCGGGGAGGGAATTGCTGATGCTGTATTGTCATACAGTGACTGCTTAGCTTAGCCTTTCCACAACAGCAAACCCTGCACATCCCCGCCGATGGAGGTGCCGGCCTCTCCACATCTTACCAATACTTACCGCCTTTGAAAAAAATTGGCCATAGCTCTCATGGGAAATATGTCATGTCTTACTGAATTTTCAGGCTTTCCCCTCTGACTCTGATATAACTGAGGGTTTCCCACAGCTTCTTCTATTCAATTAAGGAATGTCCCTTCTAGTCCCAGTTTTTCTTTTGTTCGTTTGTTTTGTGTTTTTCAAGACAGGGTTTCTCTGTGGCATTGGAGCCTGTCCTGGAGCTCACTCTGTAGACCAGGCTGGCCTTGAACTCACAGAGATCTGCCTGCTGCCTCCTGAGTGCTGGGATTAAAGGCGTGTGCCCCCACAGCCAGTGCTAATCCTAGTTTTATGAATATTTTTTATCATGCAGTGGTGCTAGAATCTCCATCAATTGGGATGAATGTGATATTTTTTCCATCAACTCATTAACCTGAATTTTTTGGTTTTGTTTTCACCAACTTTCCATGTCTCAGTAAATCTCACGGGGTCGTGATGTGTATTGCACCAAACTCTATATTTGGTTTTCTGGGATTTTGTGCAGGCTTTTCCTGCGCATCTGTATGGTATATTATCTACGATTATTCTTTTTCTTCTGATGTCCATCTGGGTTTGGTACCTTCTTGCCAGGCATGGTAGTGCATGCCTTTAATCCCAGCACACATACCGGTCATGCCGAAGTTTTCTATAAATATTAATTAGGTTTAGTTTAATCATGGTGATATTAGGGTAGACATAAGGATGAATAACGCTTAGGGTTATTAAAGGACTAAACATAGCCAAGACAGTTTGGCTCTGGCTTTGCAACATTCCAGCTCTTTGCAATCAGGTAGTTTTCATCAGTCAGCACTGTAGAATCTTTAACGTCACTTCAGTTCACAGTAGTGTGTGAGGACAGCCAGAGCTACATAAAAGACCTTGTCCCAAAAAACAAGAGCAAAATAAGTCAGTATCTGCGTTTTGGCCTTTGCAGAGCCTCCCATGTGCCTGTCAGTGAGCAATCACTTAAGTACGTACTTGACAAGTCAGATGGTGAATTCTAAATTGTCAAACAAGACCAGTGGTCTCCAGTTCTGAATGAAAAAAAGAATCCTTTTTCATATGGCCTTTGCTAAGCCTCCTGTCAACAACTCCTTAAAGTCTGCACACCAATCTTGCGCTCCTTATTTGACCCCTCCCACTTTCTTCGGCCCCTCCCTCAGCCCCGCCTCACTTGCATATATTCTCTTTCGGCCACGCCTCCAGTAGCTCCTTCAGCCCGGTCCTCCGACCGCCCCGCCCCTCGCCAGCCCCACTCATTGGACCCAACCTTTGCAGTCCTCTTCGGGCCCGCCTCTAGTCCCGCCCCCACAGTGCCCTTCGACTCCGCCCCTTTTCTTTTTTGACCGCCTCCAAAAAAATCCTCCTTTGGCTCCGCCTCTCTCCAGTCCTCCTCCAACTCCGCCCTGGCCCCGCCCATCTCCCTGATCAACCACGCCCTAATCCGGCCCGGCTCCTCCTTTGGCCCCGCCCACCGCCGCACTCTGCTACTATTTTAGTCCCGCCCTCCGCCGGCTCCAGCGCTTGCGCGTCCTCACCCCTCCCGACCCAAGGGCGTGGTCGGCCTCCTAGAGGGCACGTCGACGTCCTCACGCCGGGGCGGGGCTTGACGTACGCGTGTGGAGCGTGGGTTCGCGTACTGCCGCGGGTCCCGTGCGCCCGTGGAGCGCGGTTCCGGGAGAACCGACAAGCTGCGGAAGCCGAGGGTTGCCGCACGCCCGCCTTGGCTCCGTGCCTGCGCGCGCCGGAGAGCGGGCCGAGCCCGCCATGGCTCACCGCTGCCTGCTGCTGTGGGGCAGGGGCGGCTGCCGTCGCGGCCTCCCTCCGCTGCTCTTGCCCAGCGGCTGCCTGGGTCCGGGGCGGCGGCCCTTCCTCCGCACGGTGAGTCCCGCGTCGCCGCTGCTTCCGGTGCGGGCGCAGGGTGTCAAGGTCACCGGCCCGGGACGCGTGACAGCCTGAGCCTCCTGGTTCCCGCGGGCCGTGTGGGCCGCGCAGCTGTGAGTGACGCCGGGGGCCGGGGAAGGTCACGCCTCGGCTCGGCTGCTTGCTGCCGTGGTTTTGCTGACTTTCGCGGCACTGGAAAAGGACGGACTAGTGGGTTGTTCCGGAGTGCTGGAGGGCAGAGAGTGGAACCTCCCTTTCCCATCTGTTGAATAGGGCCGTTGCTGGCATCCTGAATACTCACCTGCAAATACCGCTGGTGTCCGAACAGTAGTTCGGAGTGGTCCTGTGTATTTCTCTGCTTAACAGCCCCTATCGTGAGGCCTCGCTGCTGGTCTAGGGTCACACACCATCTGGTCCCTTTTATTGGAGTGATGGTGTGTTGGCAGGACCATGACACAGCTTCTTGCCATCTGCCAGCCCAGCACAGGTTTTCCCCAGAGGTACATAACATGGTGGTTCAGGAGTGCAGTTGGACACTGGAACCTGGTTTGGCCACCAGGTTGCCCTTGAGAACGTTAGTTCAGCCCCCTTCACTTGCAAGCTAGAGGTAATAAATAGTACAGCAGACTTTCATCATCCGCAGGGCGTTGATGCCAGGACCCTTACCAAAATCAGAAGATACAAGCACTTCTATGTGCTTTGGTTTGGTCATACTTGAGACTAGGTCTTACGATAGCCCAGGCTAGCCTCCTGAATCTCCCACCTGGTCCTCCTAGTCAGGCTGATTCTTCCCTTATACGTTAATCTCTAGATTAATACCTAATAGACATGGCTTTTAAATGGTTTTATGCCCTAGTATTCAAGGAGTAATGACCAAAACCCAACACAAATCAACCTACTAAACACCCCCTCCTGCTCACTCTCAGAACACTGCAGAACACAAATTGGCCTCAAGCATTCTTCATTGCTGAGGTTGGTGTTGAACTCCTGAACCTCCTGTCTCCCAAGTCTCAAGTGCAGGGGTTACAACTATGTGCCAACACCCCAACTCGTGTAGTTTTTTTTTTTTTTTTCCGAGTGTTTTTCACCAGTGGTTGGTGGGATGGAAGCCCTGGCTAGGGATACCTGCGTTTGTGACATTTACTTTGAAACTCCCTTGTCATCTTGTGTGTATTTGAGTCCTTATCTTTTCTACTGTGTACTTCCCTGTTGTATACTATCTGTGCAGGGTTCCTCTATTCTCCCGTCTTACCTTACTCATCTGACCCCTCCTTTTATCATTAGTGAACTTTGGACGCAGGGATCCGCCTTGTGAGGTTGAAATTCATGTAAAAGGCCTTCATGGGACTGTTGTCCCTGTGAGTCACCAGTGGATGCTGAGACATGAGGAAATTGTTGCCTCAGACAGCTGCAGCTAATTGGTGTGGGTGGGTATGGCATATACCGCTGGTACTGGGGTACCTATAAATGACACCTGAACATGTTATCCTCCTGCCTCTGTTCCTCAGTATTGGAATTACAGGTGTGGCCCATACCTGGTTTGTTACATGGTGCTGTGCCATCAAACCCAGGACTGCACTACACCACCTGCTACATCCTCTGCCTCCAGAAGGCACTGAATTTTTTTTAAGATTTGTTTATTTTGTTTTATGTGTATGATGTATGAGTGCTTTGCATGCCTGAATGTATGTGTACCCCGTGCATCTCTGGTGCACTAGAAGGTCAGAAAAGAGCATTGGCTCCCCTAATATGGAGTTGCAGACTGTTATGAGCCACCATGTGATTGCTGGGAACTGCACCTGAGTCCTGTGCAAGACTAAGAAATGCTTTTAACCGCCGAGCTCTAGCCTCTCACCCGCCAGAGGGCATTTTGAGCTGATAGATATCTGTGGAGTGTAACTGTGTGTCTAGTTCCATACCAAACTATCATGTATTGTGCTCCCTTTGCTTCTGCATATGTGTGCACATGTGCGTGCTATGGCACTCGTGGGAATTAGAGAGGACACCATGTGAGTTCTGGGGATTGAACTTAGGTCATCAGTCTTGGTGGCAAGTGTCTTAACCTACTAAAGTGTCTCATGGGCTCCCTACATTAAACATGTTGAGAATTTGCCAGACTGTTCCAGAGTAGCTTGGCCATCACTTCTCACCAGCAGTGTGGAAGGGCTTCTGTCTCCTTTTCTTCCACACCGGTCTTTCTGGTGGAACCCACACACCCAAGTGGGTGTGAGATGTCGTACTTGAGAAGATGCTGCTTTAATTTTCTCATCAGACCATAAAAAAGACTGGGCCGCAGTGACTAATGCAATAGCTAATACAGATGAACTAGTGCACTAACTAATACAGAGAAACATCGCTTCCAGCACCCTCAACCCCTGCAAGCAACTGTTCATAATTTTGTGGTGTGAGGGTTCAGACCCAGGGCCTACACATGCTAAGCACGTGTTTTCCTGTTGATCCATACCCTAGCTTTTTAATAATGTTTTGAAACAGAAATCTATCTATAGTAGATTTTTCTATGAGAGTGACTCTCGTCAGGATGACAGCCCATCTTTAGCAGTTGCCTAGTGTAAGATTGACTCTTAGCCCTGACTCTTTCATGTTACAAGAGAGAGAGGGATAAGTTAGCATTGTTTATAGCAGCACTAACTTGTAACTTCAGATAAGTACCTGAAAATGAATCAGCATGAAACAGTAGGTTTGGGGTTAGAGTTTTGTTGAAATAGGAGCGGCGGGGCTGCGTCCCCGGCACCCGCATGGCTAGCTTATGCCCAAAATAATTACACGGAAACTATTCTTTCAAACACTGCCTGGCCCGGCTAGTTCCAGCTTCTTATTGGCTAGCTCTTACATATTGTTCTAACCCATTTCTAATATTCTGTGTAGCCCATGAGCTGGCTTACCAGGGAGGATCTTAACCTGCGTCTGTCTGGAGCCGGAGCATCATGGCGACTTCTTCACTAAGCTTCTTTTTCCCAGCATTCTCTTCTGTTTACTCCGCCTACCTAATTTTCTGTCCTATGAGGGCCGAGGCAGTTTCTTTATTATTACAAGACCCACCTCCATCATTTCCCCTTTTTCTGTTTAAACAAAAAAAGAAAGGCTTTAACTTTAACATAGTAAAATTA